CAAATCTGGTATGACAAACGATGTATATGCATGGAATTGGGCTTTTGCATACAACAACCGCGGCTCGAGAGGACAGGACAATCGTCCAAGCACGTCATCGATCCCAAACTTTGCGAAGTCAGTGCCACCAGCCGCTCGAACGACCACATGCATACCACGACGCATAGACGATATCGGCCCAAGAGGCATGATCACGCTACGGCGCCTACTATTTGCGACATCGCGCAGCACAATTTTGCTTTCAAGGCCGTACAACGTGCCGGCATCTTGGTCGGGGTCTATCTCTTCGTTCAATTCTCGACACTGGAGAAGTCCTTTCGGGTTCACGAAGAACGAGAGTGCCAAATGGCGGAGCTCGACAGATAGCCTTCCCCCGAAGCTGGCAGGCTGGAAGACGGTAATCTTACGTGGATCTTCAAAGTGGCGAAAGAGGGTTGCAACTTGCTTGGAGAGGTGAGAATTAGGATCGATCAATAACGTTCGGTCGTTTCGATAAGCTTGCCGTCTGATAAGATCAATCCTCCAGTCACTCTTCCTCGTCTTCCACAGAACAGGCTTGCGCCGGATCTCAAGACATCTCGTCTTCAGATTCAACCAGTGCGCACAATCGGAGATGAGTGCAGTCGGAAGGTCAGCGGTCTCGGGACCAACAAAGATGTGAGACGGGATATATTCTAGCAGCCCATCCCGAGTCCAAGCGCGGACGACGACGCGCCCGTCACGAGACCCAAAGTGTATTTCGTGGTTGTGTATCCGCGATGCGAGAACATACGACATGCCGAAGGCAGCAGACGGAAAAGTGAGAAGATTTCGGTCGCCAAAAAGCTCTCTTACCTCATCTGACTGTCGAATATCGCGAGGAAGTGCTCCCAGAGGCTTTCCGTCGACCAGTAAGTGGCCCTCCATGAAGTTGTAGTGAACCACTTGCGTGTTTGCTTGATCCATCATCGAAGTCTGCATCAAACTCGCTACCCACCTATCATGTGTTGATACTTGCCGCCAGTCACGGAAGGATTTCTCAGCTGAACCCCCCGGTTCTGACCATGATGCGTTGATAGCCATGCCGATACTTCGAGGGTGGGCTCTTATAGACCGCAGTAAGCGTGATCTGATCTTGTACGTCATCTTGGTGTCTCGGATCAGCATCCTCTCCAGGACTGGCGGCAGCTTAGCCACGTCCACAAGGAGGTTTTCCTGGAGAGCCAATGACGCCTGAACAAACGTGGACAGATCATCTTCTGACATGACACCGTCGAAATCGGTGGTGCTGGAGAACGTCCTGCGGCAGAGCAAGGCGGCCCAAAAAGCGTACCTTGCGGCTGTCTGTGCGATGGACGTTTCTTTGGCATTTCTGACATCGGCTCGGAGACGCGTGATCCAAGCCAGGGTAATGCGACGCACC